CACCATTATTATTATTATTATTATTATTATTATTATTATTATTTCTATTTCTATTCTTATTTTAGCTTCTACTTCACCTCTGTGCCCACACTGTCCCTCCCAGCCAGTGGTGCCCCACCCAGACTGGCAGGTTTTGATTTGAGAGACACTTTGGAGCAGGTGCACATGCCCCACACCCTGGACTTCATTGGCCCTCACTGAACTAGAACAACCCAGGCCAGACCAAGCCCTAGTTTAGCCAGGGCAAGTTCTGAGAACCTTCTAAGGGCCTGAGGCAGCACCTCCCTAGCAGGCAGCCCCAGCCTATGCCTCTGTTCTTGTGACATCATGGAAGCCCCTGGTGACATCGCAAACCCTTCATCCTTTGTCCTGTGGCTAAGCAGGGATTGGGAAGATCAAGTCAGGGCTGAATCAAGATTAAGTTGGCCTCTTCCATCCTTAATTTCTTTTTTCTTTTTTCTTTTAGAGAGAGAGCACACAAGCAGGGGAGAGGGGTAGAGGGAGAAAGAATTTTAGGCAGGCTCCATGCTCAGCAGTGGAGCCCAATGCGGGGCTCAGTCCCACAGACCCTGAGATCATGACCTGAAATCAAGAGTCAGATGCTCACCTGACTGAGCCACCCAGGAGCCTCTCCATCCTCAGTTTCTGCTCACCTGCCCCTACCAGTTCCCCCCAGGGACCCAAATTTGGCAGTTAATGTAGGCCACATCCCATTGTCCATTTCCCAGGAAGCAGCAGGCACCGCCACCACTGCCACTGTACTATCACAGGGGCCTTTGGTGATGCCTCTTCAGAGGACTGGGCAGGCAGGGCTGTTAGCTGGGAACCAGGAGGGGTGTCTTGACCTGAAATCAAGAACCAAAATGGAGTTGGCCACTAGTTCACCTATCCTCCGCTACCTCTCTCTTCCATCCCCACTCCTTCACCCAGTTCTGCTTAGTACCTCCCCATCCCTGGTCAGCTGTGTGTAAATAGAGAAGGAGGGGCCACCAGAGGCAGGGAAGGGAGGGGACCATTGGGATTATAAATTCCAAAAAGGCCACTCAACTCCCAGAGCCGGATCCCTGAAAATCTACTGTCAGCTGCTGTACTTGCTACCATTCTCAAGATCCTCATCATGAAAGGTCTTCTGCTGCTCACCCTGTCTACTCTGCTCTGCTGGGTCTCAGGTGAGCATCTAGGGGCCCCAAGGACTTCTACAGCTTGCCCCACCCACCGCCCTCCATTGCCCACTGCTCAGGATCCCAAGTGCCCCAACTGGTGGCTCAGTTCTCCTGTGCCTCCAGAACCAGGCTTCCCCGTCACAGGGTCTTTGCTCCATTTCTCAAGGATTCCTGGCTCCTTCACACTTCTCCCCACCTCCAAGACCTGCCAGGGCTCCAGGTCCCCTCTCCCCTACTCCACTACCAAACTCTCTGGGACCCAGCTTACTGCTTTCTCCTCTTACCATCTGCACTCAGCAGAGTCCTCCCAGAAACCTAGGCATCCAGTCTGGGACTTCTTGTGCATCCCACCCTCCCCATCTACTCCATCAGATTTTGTTCTCAGTCATTCTGAGAGGCAGTGGCCTTTTCTAGTGCACCCTTGGGCTTCCCTGGGGAGCATAACCCCAGGGATACAAGCCTTCTGGAGGGTCCCAGGGATCTCTTAGAATCTCCTGGGAAACTGGGGAGATATCCCAGCCTCCTAGGGAGGGAATGCCAAGGCTGCTCACGCCCAGGGTGAAATGGATTTGTTGCACAGAGGTGCAGTCACCGGACCCCTCTACTCCTGGACTGAACCCCTCCTTCGCCACACTTGGCTCACCCAAACCTGCAATTAGCTGAGGTGGGAACTTGGAGGGTGACACTTTCTGCTTCCATTCTCTCCCTTTTGGTAAGGTGCTCAGGTGGAATCTGATGATCTGGTTCCCAGATATTTTTCTTTTCTTCCTCAAAGCCTCCAGGATGACAGGATCCCACACTTACGGCGGTCCCAGGTGGTGAGAGTAAATTGCTAAAGCTGACCACGGGGGCACCTGGGTGGCTCAGTCAGTTAAGCGTCCAACTCTTGGTTTGGCTCAGGTCATGATCTCACCGTGAGTTCGAGCCCCGCATTTGGCTCTACGCTGACAGCGCAGACTCTCTCAAAAATAAATGAGCTTAAAAAAAATAAAAATAAAAATAAAAATAAAAGCTGGCCTTAGGTGGCTTTCTTGCCAGCCTCAAGTTACAAGCCATTTATGCAAGTGCTGCAAACATCATTCTTATTTGTAATATTTCTTCCAATTTCAAGTCTCCATCTGTGACGTCTTCTGAATTCCTTTATCTTTTCCCCCACCTCCTCCATTCCTTGCCCACGGTATTCTCACATTCCATCTATCCCCAGCCCTGTGTTTTTGTTGGTAGCTCTACCCCTCTTGACTCATCCCCCATGGGGTGGGGTGAAGGACAGTGTTTAGTGTGTGGGCATTCACAGAGCAGTGCTCCACCCTCCCCTACCTCCACTGTTGCTGCTTTACTCACCTCCTCTGTCACTACCAAACCAAACAGGTTAGAACACCTACTTGATTGGCTCTTCTCCACCCTACCCCACAGCTCTGCTGGTCCCCAGGTGAGTCAGACACCCCATCACCTCAGCCTGACTTGTGTCTTCCCAGCTGACATTCGCTGTCACTCCTGCTACAAGGTCCCTGTGCTGGGCTGTGTGGACCGGCAGTCCTGCCGCCTAGAACCAGGACAACAGTGCCTGACAACAAATGTGTACCTCGGTAACATCCCCCTCTTTAGTGGGGAGAGGGGACCGGTGGGAGACTCTATTGGTGAGGGCTGAGGCCCAACTGTAGCTCAGACTGAGGTGGAACAGACAATCACAGGAATGATGATATTTGGCCGAGGGTTCTTAGGTACGAGGTACCATTCTCTGACTTTACATGGATTGTTTGAGTTCATGTTCAAGAATCCTATGATGTGGGTGCTCTCATTACACTGAGGAGACAGCCTCAGAAAGAGACACTTACAAGTCCAAGGCCTCACAGCCAACAAGTGATAGGACCAAGACTGGGGTGAGGGGGTGGGGGAAGGAAGTGAAGGAGGACGGTCAGACTTACTGAGAAGAGATAAAGAGGGGAGGGCCAGGGGCAGAGTAGGGAAGGAAGCCTGGGTGGGTGCATGGGGAGGGGAGGTGGGCACAGGCATGCCAGGTGCCCATCCTAGCTGACCCCACTGTCCACTCCTACCCTCAGGTAAGATGTGGGTTTTCTCCAACCTTCGATGTGGCACACCCGAAGAGCCTTGTCGGGAGACCTTCAACCAAACCAACCACAAGCTGGGTCTGACCTATAACACTACCTGCTGCAGCAAGGACAACTGTAACAGCCCAGCCCCTCGGCCCACCCCGGCCCTGGCCCTTGTCCTCCTGACCTCTTTGGCTGGCCTTGGCCTCTGGCTGCTGCACTGAGACTCACTCCATAGCTGCCCCTCCTCCCACTTGCCTTAACTTGAGCTGAGCCCTGTGTCTCTGTGTCCCCCGGCTCCCTACAATGGCCTCTCCTTAGCTCCCTTTGCTCAGAAAAACATTTCTCCAGACTCTTCACATTTCTTTAATTAGACAATGGTCTCTCTACCCATCCTGCCACTTTACATCCTCCACTCTGCTTCTCCTGAGTCCCTGCCCATATCCCTCTAGACCATTCCAAATCTTCCCCAATAGAGTTCCTCACTCTATTTTTCCTCCTGCACTCTACCGTGCCCTACTCCGGGAGCGATGGGGACCTGGGCCTGAAATTGTCTTCTGTCCTGTCCCCAGCGAAGGCTCCTAGGAAGGACCTGATGACCTCACTGTCTGGGGTTGATTCCCCAAACCCTGGCCCCCATACATACCCCATTCCCATGATCACCTCTTTCCATTTTGTGTAATAAATGTCTATGTCTGATAAATTGTGTGTTTATTGTCAAGACATCTTGTCAGAGGCCCCCTCTCGGGAAATGATGTTTTCAGCTCCCTCCCTCCCCCAAGAATCCTTCAGGGGTTTCCCTGAGAGGCTGGGCTGGGGCAAATAGAGAAATGGGTTTTTCAGGCCTCTATCCTTCCTTCCTGTGCCTGAGGTTGGCACACAGGTCTCAGTGTTTGGAGCGACAATTCTTATCCCAAATTTAGGCCACACCTCTGGTGTACTGCCAAGAAGGAGGTGCAGCCTGGCTTCAGGGCTCACCAAAAAGGGTAGGAGAGTTGCATGGGGATGGAATCCAGGACCCTCTTAACAGGCCTCAGTCCCTCAGGTTAGAGTCAAGGGCCTCACTTGGCCAGGCTACTAAGCAGGGCACCAAGCAACCCTCCTAGCATGGTGCTTACGTTTCCTTTCTCAATCCTATAGAGTCACGTTGGGAAGCAAGTGGCAAATGGGAGAAAGGGGAACAAACCCAAACAGTTTCTTTGATTTCTGATGACCCCCACTTAGCCCAGAGACCAGTCCCCTCATGCCCTCATGGTCCTCACTGCCGGGGAAGACTCTCCCTAGCAATAGGACCAGAAGTCACTTAGAGCAGATTCTCCATTGTCCCTTGGGGTTTCATTGGTTAAGGAGTACACCATTATAACTAAGTCCACTGATGCTTGATAACCCCTAAACTAGAGCATGGACGCCCCCATAATACTCCTGCGAATTCTCCCATCAAAAAAGATAGAATTTTCCAGTCAGGTCTAGGGTGGTGGATAGATTTTAATGGCTCACAGAGGGCTGTTTGTCTTCTCACCTCGAATCTCCTTTGTTCCCTCGCTCCCTTGTGCCCTTCCCTTCCCTTGAGCCTACTACCCTCTTTACAGTGCTGGCAAGAGCCAGGCCAGTGTGGTGGCTGTTGCAGCCAGGAGGCATGGCAGGGCCACAGTGTTTGCGACGGCGCTGTTGCACAGGTCTCCGACGCAGCAGTCTCTGTGGGTTGTGTAAGTCACATCTCCCACCAACTCTGTTTCCACTTGATTGCAATGATGGGCCGCCACGCAGGCTGGATAGTGATGAATCAAGGTCACTGAGGCTGAGGAGAGAACGAGACTGGGGTGTCGGACTCTTCGCATGAGGACTTGCCTTCTAGGGCAGAGTGGATGTGACTTCAAGGAGCCCAAAGGGATTCTCTGCCCCCCTCAAAAAAACAGCTCCATGAAACCAAATGACCAAAATCCACACACTGACACTGTGAACCCTCTAATTCAATGCACTGAAACGGACCAACATCACTTCTGTGCTGTTCTTGCCCAAAACTCATGACTGCAATCTAGAAATCATGAGAAAATATTAGATAAATCTAAATTGAGAGTCTATAAAATAACTTATCAGGACTCTTCAAAAGTGTCAAGGTCATGGAAGACAAAGACTCAGAACTGTCACAGATCAGAGGAGACTAAGAAGACACGAGAGCTAAAATGCAATGTGGGATCCTGGTCTGGGTCCTGGACTGTCAGTTCAGATGCAGAAATGAACACTACAGGTCCTATCAGCCCCAGGCACAGCCGGGCTGGCCAAAGGAACACGTAGCCTAGGCTCAAGGGATAGGAATGCTTGCGTCTCACTCGAAGGAACCTGTAAGACAAGTAATTAAAATCAGCACTATCCTAAAGATATGATCATTAGATGTACCTAATGAAATCTCTAACATAAAGAATAAAGATATTTTTGAGATTCCAAGTCTCTTGAGATGGAAAAGATGTCCGAGGACCAGACGAAGTAGCACTAGAACACCTGCTAGCATGACCTCATGGACTTCCAGTCAACAGTGTCCACTTTCTCAGAAGAACCCTATCCCCACTTTTGTCCTCAAAAACCCTCATGGGCAAGCAGTTGGGGAGGGGGTGGGACTTTGGAGCATCAGCTCCCCATTATCTTGGATGGCACCACACCAATAAATGGCCTATCTTTCTTCTTTGCCAAAGCTCGGTGCCTGTTTTTATTGGCTTGTTGTGCAGCAAGTGGATGAACTCTCGTTCGGTTTGGCTCTAGTACAGGACCCCAAAAAAAGACATGTGTAGAACAACTGGCTAAACTGAATAAGGTCTGGAGATGAGTTGGTAGTACCAGTGTTATTGTTATTTCCTGATTTTGATAATAGTACTGTGGTTATATAAAATGTTAACATTAGAGGAAGGGAGGTGAAGGATATACAGGAACTCTCTGTACTATTTTTACTAAATAGTAAACTCTCTATACTATTTCTACTAAGTAATTTTCAAAAATTATTTCAGGGGCGCCTGGGTGGCGCAGTCGGTTAAGCGTCGACTTCAGCCAGGTCACGATCTCGTGGTCCGTGAGTTCGAGCCCCGCGTCAGGCTCTGGGCTGATGGCTCAGAGCCTGGAGCCTGTTTCCGATTCTGTGTCTCCCTCTCTCTCTGCCCCTCCCCCGTTCATGCTCTGTCTCTCTCTGTCTCAAAAATAAATAAACGTTAAAAAAAAATTATTTCAAAATTACACACACACACACACACACACACACACACACACACACACACACCCCTGGTCCTTATCTAATGTCTGCAAGTTTGGTTTACTATTTTGGTCCCTGACCTAAAGGGACAGAACTTTTTCAACCATTTGTGAGTGAATGGGCCTATGAGACTCTGGAGAGTTAAGAGGGGGAAGTAGGAACATAGGGACAGTGGGCTGCTGAGGGGCTGTGCCAGAGCCAGAGGGCTCTAAGACTGCTCTACTCTGCCATGGCACCATCTGCCCAGAGCCAGACTGAGCCTAGAAGGTTCTGGAAACCAGAAGGATCGAAGTAGGAGCTGGAGGCAGGGAAGGGCTGGGGGAAGAGGGAGAAACTGAGGACTCACGGTTTCCAGATAGCTTGTTCGGTCCCAGGCCTGGCTGGGGTTTGCGCTCCAGGAAGCCACAGCGTTCTCCCTCCCTGCAGGTGGCCACGGTTTCTTTGCAGGAGCTGCTGGGGCCTCCTTTGCAGTCATAGCACCTCATTTGGTTTCCTGGCAGGAAAGAAGAGGTGCTTGACCCAGGCTGACTGAGGAGCCAGTGTGGGTAGAGGGGGATGGGCTGCTCCTTACCCAGGGCAGTCCCCAGCAGAGTGCCAAGCAGGACCCCGACAACTGGGGAGTTCATTGTGTCTGCCTGTGTCAGGATCACCTCTCTCTCCCACCCCCCCTCCCTGGCCCTGCTCTGCCAGCCTTATATCCCCCTTGCCTTGGGCTTTATAGGGCAATAAAAAGGGAGGAAAGAATCTCCCCCAGCAGGCACTGGGGCCCCATTGGGGACAGGGAGGGGCCCCCATGGCAGGAAGAGCCCTCAGCATCCTCTGGAGTCCCCAGATTCTTCCTTCCTCAGCAGCTGTTCTAAAGCTGTGGCCCCCGAATTCCTGGCCCTAAGACCCTTTTGGAAGGTCCTCAGTGTTCTTCCTTTTCCAACTTCATACCTACGTGAGGTCAGATTTTCTTTGTATACTTCGACCAAAACAACATATCCCAATAGACTTTGTGCAGAAGAAGATGTGAAAACCTGGCCATCTTCTCTTAAGCCTGACTTTTACGTAATTCCCCAAAGTGTGGAGGGATACTACTTTTCTATGTTGTTGGGAAAGAAGTTACTTTTCACAAAACTATGTTTTGTTAACATGTAATAGGTTTATTATTTTTATTTTTAAATAAACCTATTTAAACTGCTCTGTTTTGATTTCTAATATAGTAAATACCAATATTAACTCCCACAAAGAAAAACTCTGCTCTGTCTTCAGTAATTTTTAAGAGGTGAAGAGGTCCTGAGATTAAAAAAAAAAAAATGTTTTGGAGATCTGTCTCCTCTGCCTTCCCTCCTCTATCTTACTCCTCCTGGCACATCCCTGTTCTGATGTCTCAGATCAGGCTCTCCTCCCCAATGTCTTAAACCCAGTTTTCCAGAATCTACCACCACCTTCTAAATCTTATCCCCACATTCCTTCCAAGTCTTTCTGAGCCACACACCCCCCCAGTAGAAACACATCTGTCCCTCTGGCCCCACCCATGATTAATTCCTCCCTCGTGGTAGTAAAGCTGGGAGGGATAATTATAGGGTACAAATGTTGAGGCTTGGGGGGATCAAAGGGATCTGAAGCTGGGTGGGGTCCCACTTAGACAGCTGAGCTTTGTGTGGAGGGGCAGGTGGAAGAGGGTAGTGTTCATTTCACATTCAAACACCACACTGGAGCCATTCTGGGTCAGGGCTTCCAGGAGGGTGACCTTGAGAGACTCAAATGCTTGGAGAGGGGAAAAATGGAGCAAACAAAGACAGGGAGCTGAGTTGACAGAGCCGAGAACAGCTTGAGAGGAGGGGAGGGAGGGAGGAGTGAGGGGGAAGGTGACAGACATAACTCTGGAGCGGCAGACGCAGCCAAGAGTAACAAACACAAAACGGAGAAGACCCTGAAGACTGGAGCAGACTAAAGTAGGGGGCAGAGAGGATGTGAGAGATGTGGGATGCAAGAGCAGAGGCCCAGGACCCTCCCACGTCAGGCTGGTGGATCTGGTCCTGGTTCCACCCCCCTCCCCCCCCCAGATTCACTCCCTAGGTGTGTTTGTTTACTGGTCCCTCCCTGTCTCACTCAGATGCTCCAACTCTCGGGACCTCAGGGTGCAGATCACATTCTCCCAGACTCCTGAGCCCTGGGTCCAGCCATGCGCTCCTCCAGCATCTGTCTGTGCCTCCTGTTCCTCTGTGGGGCACTGGGTAAGGGTGGGCCGGTGGGGAGAAGCGGGGAAGACTGGAGAAGAGAGTTGTAAGGGCTTTAGAAGGAAGAGCTACCGGGAATGGCCTCAGGCCAGGCGAAGGTGGAACAAGAAGTTTCTTTCCGAAGACATTTGAGAATAACTATCTCTTCCTTGCAGCATCTCTTGGACATGCCTCTGACCTCTGTCTCCCCTGTCCTTTATCTCATCTTTTGCTTCTTTACTGGGTCCCTTGGTTAGTGTCAGTGTCTGTTCTTAATTCGCTCTTGTCTGTGGCACCATTCACTTAACCTCTTTACCGCCACCCTGCCTTCCCCGGTCTGGCATTTTGTGTCACTCTCTGCATTCATCTCTGACTCTCGTGGCTTCTGTCATGTCTGTGCACTTCTCACAACCTCTGTATCCCTCTGGCTTCTGTGTCTTTCTCTTTTCCTGAGTTGTCCCCCCACCCTCCTCTGTGTCTTTTTTTCTACTTCTGCCTGCCCTCCTCCCTCCCTTTCACCACTTCCCTCTCCCCACTTTGTGTGTCACATCTCTCTGTGAATCCCTGTCGCAGGTCTGGGCTCGAGCCTCTCACTGGCCTGTTTGCCTCTCTTGATCTCTGCTGACCCCCCAGGTCTCACCACGTCCCCCACCCGGGGACAGCTCCACTGTTACACCTGCAGCTTCAGCAAACCCTGCTATCCTGTTCTCACCGAGTGTCAGGATGACGAAGTTTGTGGCATCAGTATCGGCACCTCAGGTAGGACTCTGGTCCCATGGCTCTACTCCAGGCCCATCTCCATCCATCCATCCTGCTTTTCCTGCTGCCCCACACACAGTCTTTGCCTCCTTCCTGCCCGGGCCTCAGCATTCCCTCTTTGTCCCACAGAGCAGAGTGAGATCATCGAGCGGAAAGGCTGCCTCCCAAGGGCCCAGTGCACTCTGCAGGGCCATGCCACCTACTGGTCACGCTCCTATGCTCTGCGGCACCACTGCTGTGAGCAGAACCTGTGCAACACAGCCACCATGCTGCAGCGGCTCCCCAGCCCCCTCCTCATCATCCTGCTCCTCCTCGTGGCCGGCTTCATGTGGGGAGCCCACCTACTCCACTAGCCTCAAACCAGGACTCCTCCACCATCACCACCACCCTGGAAACACCTCATCTGAGATATGCCCAAGAACCTGATTCTGAAGAGACCTCAGGTCTCTGGCCCAATACCTTCCCAGACCCTTCCCAAGGCCTGATTCCTACAGGCACTGCTCTAACCCCTATAGGTACCTGCCCAGAGCCCAGCCTCGTAAAGAACACCTGTTCTATGCCTTTTGTCTTTTCTAGTTGCCCGATGTTGATGCTCTATCTTAGCTCCAGGTCTTGGGCAAGGCAGGTGTTTTGATGGAGGTGTGGGTCCCAGGCACGGGGATTGAAGGGGCACCAGGTATGGTGAGGAGGACAGTCTTGCTAGGAAAGATTAATTTGGCAGGTTAGGAACTCAGGAAGGAGGTTCTTGGGGAACTATGAAGAGTAAATTTAATAAAAGTGCTATTTGTGAGTCTAGGACACTGCTCTGTGTGGTGTGTATGTGCGTGTGCTCTCTAAAAGCAAACTATAGCTGCTTGGTGGGTTTGGTTGGGGTGCTGGGACTAGAACCCTAACTTTCACCTCACTCTCCATCTGTGTCATTCCCGTCCTCCTCCTTGCTAACAGGTCAGCTTAAGCTGCTGTAGCATGAAGGCTTTTGGTGACACTCCTGTGAAAGCTTTTCTCCACTGAGGTCCAAGCTTGAGCACACAAAAGGATGTGGCTGGGAGTCCAGCTCCTTTCTGCCTGAGACCGGGGAGTGGACCAATTGGGAGCACCAATGCCCTTCCCTGCTTGGCCAGCCCAGACTTGTCCAGGGTTCACTGACAGCCCAGCACACAGGGCCCAATTACACACCCCACCAGTGAATCCACCCGCCCACCCTTGCGGACACTCCCTCTCCCCAGGGAGATACCATGGGACTCTTGGAGCTCCCAGGATGTCAGGATGTTGATAAGCCTCTGCCACTCCGGATGCCACAATGAAGTGCTAGGATAAGGAGGGTGGCTCAGGGTGGGGGCTGAGCACAGCCACCCCTCATCCTGACTCAGTGCCCTCCCCTTCCATGCAAGGAAGTCTGGGGTCTGATTAAAGGTGCCTGTTCTCCCTCACCTTCTTCTCTAGGAAAATGAGACTGAGCAGGGATGAAGGATTGGAGGTGGGGGGTGGTCTGGCTTAATTTAGAGGCCACCTGAGTCTTCTTCCCATTCTCTCTGTCATTCCATCCTCCTACTTGATGCTTCCATTTGTTTCTCTCTGTCCATCTCTTCCTCTTACTTGAGTCCTTGCCTTCTCTCTTCTTCACTTTCCTCCATTTATCCTTTGGTTTCCCCAAGACTGATACTCCACCATTGCTCAAGTCTCTGGATTCTTCTCTCTCCTCTCTGTCCATCCCCACCCCTCCACACCCCCTGCCCCCTACCCCAGGCTCCCCTCAATCCCATGGGACTGGGCACTTAGGGTCATCCCTTCACTGGCTATTATAAAACAGGAGACCACACTTTCTCATAGGTGATGTCACAAGATAATGCTTCTCCTTTCCTTCAGCAACCCCCCCCCAACACACAAGCATGCGTGCACACACACACACACACACACACACACACACACACACACAGCTTGACTGCTGGAGACCAGCTGGACTGTAAAGTAGCACTCTCAGCCCCTCCCCCCTTGCCAGGGTTTTCAGGCGAATCTTTCAGGTGCCAGATGGCTGGAGAGACAGCAGGTCACACTTCCCAGCAGATGTCATCGAGATCATCTGACCTTGTGGGCAGGTGGGCTGTGGGTTTTGTGAAGCAGAAAGATAGATTAAGGATACTTCCATACTCCACCTCCTCAGAATTAGGATTCCACACCCATTCCAACCCCAGTCTCCTCTGGGATTTAAGCCTGTACCCCCTAGTGTTTCTCACCTGAGACGGGCCACATGGATGTTCTCATAGACCTGGATTTCAGGTTTGAAATGAGGAATCGAGGCATCTAAGAAGAAGGAACCATATGGGGTGCAGCAGAGAAATTATCAGATAATTCAGAGCTATATTCCTTACTGCCCTCCTCCCCTAGAGAAATAGGGTATAGAGGCAACCCTCTGCCTCACACCCACATGCTCTCTTTTTTCCTCTGGGAGGGAGGGACTCACCTCTGCACTGAGCCCTCTGGACCCTCTGTCTCCAGAGCATGATGCTGAGGGCCAGGATGGTGAACCCCTGACCTGCTGCAAGCAACAGCATCAGGATCCAGGATACATCCCAGCCCGTGGCACGGGCACAGAGGGCAGGGGAGGCATCCATGGAGGCTACAGTAGGGGCAAGACAATAGGGATAAGGAGGGAGGTGGTGAGGGGTCTGTTCCCATACCCCAAAGAAAGGCCTCTCCCCATAGTCTGGTGGGCTCTTCCCAACAGAAGACCTCATATGCATCTTTGCCCCCAGTTTCCACCAACCCACTCTGCCCATTTTCAAGCCTCTCATCCTGAGCCTGTGAACCAATAGCAATACACCCCCTCCCATATATGAACAGCTAACTCCAGAGCAGACTGGCGGCCATAACTGGCAGCCATATGAGCAATCTTTCCTCATATCCTTAATAGTAATCCAAAGTTTCAAGAGAAAGTAAAGTGCCTTCCATTCATTCATTCTTTCATTCATTCACTCCATAAGCATTCACTGAGTGCCCACCAAATGCCAGGCGCCACATTAGGTGCTGTAGATGTAGAGAGAAATAAGACCCAGGCACTGCTCATTAACTGGCCTTTGCCTTCAAAACTAATGGCAATTTTCTCCTCCCTCCTGCCTTGTAAATGGGTTATTCTACATCTAATGGCATTCTGTCTGTGTATAATGGATTTTTAACTGTAAAACAATGATACACTTTTTTCTCCTTCTCCTTTCACTCTCAGTAGGCCATTATAACATCAGTGCATATATCTTTTCTTCAAAAGACAACACCCGGGGTGCCTGGGTGGCTCAGTCGGTTAAGTGTCTGACTTCGGCTCAGGTCATGATCTCACGGTTCATGAGTTCGAGCCCCGCATCGGGCTCTGTGCTGAACGCTTGCTCAGAGCCTGGAGCCTGTTTCGGATTCTGTGTCTCCTTCTCTCTGCCCCTCCTCCACTCTCACTCTGTCTCTCAAAAATAAATAAATGTAAAAAATTTTTTAAAAATTAAAAAAAAGACAACTCCCCCATCAATAATTCTTATTTACTTCCTCTCTGAAATGGGATAGCCCACAAAAATCCTAGGTTACCCTATTTCTGAATAATGGCATATCCCACTGGAATCCTTCTTGTTCTTCATGGCCAATGGTCTATTCCACCAGAAAGGTGGCTTAATCAACCCCCTTCTCTGTTATAGAGTTGGCCAATGAGAAAAAAGCCTTCTCCCTACAGGTGATGGTCTGCTCCACCAGAAATCACCCCCAACCCAAATCTGGCCAATTACAAAGTCACGTCCTCCTCCCCTGGCCAGCAGGTGCAGAATGTGCCAGAGACAACATCCTCTCCCATATCCTCCTTCAGTTTACCTGCTAGGCTAAAGCTGACCCCTTTGTTATGAGGCATGAGGCAGCTGATGATTCTTGGTCTATGTTCCCTGGACTCAGAGAGCTGTTCCCCAGGACACACCAAGAGCAGGGCAGCCCCATCACCCCAAAATGACTGTACATGGCCCCTCACAGGACCCCTTCCCTCTAGCCAGGTCACAGAGTCTAGGCGTCTGGCAGGGGCCACAGAGCATAAAAGGACGGAGCAGGGGGATCCATCCGCAGCCCTCGCGGATAGCTGGGATCCTGTGGGGAGAGAGGGACCGCTTAGTTTTTTGCTGGGCTTCCTGGCCCCCGGTGGCCCCCCCATCTGCATGCCTCCACTCACCTCTGAGCACGGAGACATCATACACCCTCCAGTTCTGGTACTTGTGGTGCTGACCCAGAACAGCACACCAGTACCGACCGGCGTCTCCCTCTTTGGACTTTTCCAGCCACAAAGAGTAGTTCCCCAGCAGTTTGAGCCTGGATGCCCTTACAGACTTCCCAGGCTCTGGGGAAGGCCCCCTCCCAGGCCTGGCCACTTGGACTTGGGCCACCAGGGCAGTGGAGGAGCCTGCTGCAGGGCTGCGGAACCAGGACAGGAGTTCGTCTCCACTCAGAGTGGGTGGTGCAGGACATGGCAGCTCCATTGCCTCCCCCAAGGCTACATAGATGGTCTGGATATTGTCTGTGGAGAGGGGGTTTTATGGTGCTAGAAACCTCCATCAGATCAACAGCTCCCACTTGACCTCTAACTCCTGGCTTCTGCTCCTTCTGGGGTCTCCCAGCATGGGTCTTGCTATGAGCACAATTCTCAAATGACAGCTATAAAAAAAGTTGAGGAGGGGAGAAGAGGGTAGGGCTTTCTTCCTCTCTCCTCCAGTGGGTGAGAGAATCTGAAGGCAAGAGAGAAAAGGCTGGAATAGTTGGCACATACCCTTCTCTCTTCCTCTCATTTTTCCTTTTCTAGAAGCACTTATGTGTCTATTCTTATTTTCTAAAGGAAACTGTCCATGATCTGGACACTCATTTTCTCTGGATCTTCCCCAGAATTAGAGGTAGGGGGAAGTCAGTTGGGGTAAATCTATCTTCTTGAGTCACATGCCATCTGCAGGCCCCTAAGGAGAAACAGCAATAGTTCCTCACGACCTTGCAAATAGCTGAAGAATCCCCCACCTCCCGCTCCTTACCTGCAGCAGCCTGCGGGGGGCCACATAGGAACAGAAGGAGGAATAAGACCGCCATGGGGAGAGCCTGCCAAGTTCTCTTGCCCAGGACCTGGTGCCCCACGGAGGAAACAGAACCCAGATAAAGACTCACACTCCCCGGTCTGGAGTGACACGGTCCTCTTGAGGGAATGGGAATGCTGGGGAGATAAAGCCCAGCTTCCTGTCTACTGGGGAAAAAGTGACCACCACCTTCCAGTCCCAAGGGGGAAAAGACCCAGTCCAGTCTGTTCTGAAGATGATCTCCTCACACTTCTGACTCTACATCAGCTGAAGGACACAGATTAAAGACTCTTCATGCTAAAAAGCCTGCACAGAAGGGAGCACAGCTGTTCACCTCCATTCAGTCTGGAAGTACATTCTGTGCTCTCTCCTTCACCCTAAAAGATGCCAACCATAAATGCAGAAGCTGAATCTTCACGTTGGTCTCCACAGAACTCAGTACAAGACTGCACACCCAGCCAATACCCTATAAATAATTTAGAATGATTTTCCGTGTGGCTTATGGCACACCACACATCTCTTCTGAACCCCTGATGAGTATATTACGTTACTATTAAAAGAAGAGAATAACAAGCATTTGCAGAATTCACCAATTCACCTCTCTACCCCAGGTAGGATAGGATTCTCAAAACAGATCTTCATATAGCTCTAAGAGTTTTTTTTTGTTTGTTTGTTTGTTTGTTTTTTTTTAGAGAGAGCACAAGTGAGTGAGGGGTAGGGAAAGAGAATCACAGGAGGGGCAGAGAGAGAGAGAGAGAAAGAAAGAGAAGCAGGGAAGCAGTGTTCCCCCAAAGCAGGGCTTGTGCTTACCTGATGTGGGACTCAAACTCACAAACCACGACATCATGACATCATGACCTGAGCTGAAGTCAGATGCTTAACAACTGAGCCACCCAGGCACCCTAGCTCTAATAGTTCTTAATGTGTTATTTACTTTTAAAAGTTATTTACTTTTAAAGTAGTATATATGGCATATATATTTTTATATTTTTATTTTTTACTGAGAGAAGAGAGAGAGCACGTGAACAGGGGAGGGATGGGGGGGTGTGGGGGGGGTTACAGAGAATCAGAAGCTGGCTCTGCACTGACAGCAGCGAGTCCGATGTGGCGCTCGAACTTGTGAACTGTGAGGTCATGACCTGAGCCAAAGTTGTACGGTCAACTGACTGAGCCACCCAGGAGCCACTTTAATGTTTTTTTATTTTAATTCCAGTTGGTTGACATACAGTGTTATAATAGTTTCAGGTGTACGATATACTGATTCAACATTTCCATGCATCACAGGGTACTCATCCCAACAAGTGCATGCCTTAATCCCCATCACCTATTTAATCCATGTCCCCCCTGCCCCCGGTATTACCTGGATGCTGATTACATCGATATACTCAAATGGTGCACTTTTATGTATATATGCTTACTGCAATAAAAAGCTAAAGAATTTACATATACTGTAGGTGTAACGTACAAAGAAAAGACAAACCTGTCTATTTAATAACAGTATTACCATTTCAAAGATCCTCTATGCTGTGTTACACTATTCCAAATTTGCTCTTTATCTTGCACTTACTTGACCATTAAATTTTCTTTTTGAAACGGGGTGTCAGGTTGTATGTAATCTATGGCTTTCTTTTTTCCAGTCAGTACTACGGTTTTGAGGTTCATCCACGCTTAAGAACGATAATGTATCCTTTATTTTTTATATATATATATATATATTTTTTTTTCAACGTTTATTTATTTTTGGGACAGAGAGAGACAGAGCGTGAATGGGGGAGGGGCAGAGAGAGAGGGAGACACAGAATCTGAAACAGGCTCCAGGCTCTGAGCCATCAGCCCAGAGCCCGACGCGGGGCTCGAACTCACGGACCGCGAGATCGTGACCTGGCTGAAGTCGGACGCCCAACCGACTGCGCCACCCAGGCGCCCCTGTATCCTTTATTTTTTAAACCAGTATTTCACACACGTTAACAATACTGAGTCCTCCTATCCATATCCATGACTGCGACGTAGCTCTCCACTTATTCAAGCCTTCAGTTTACCTCTTTCAAAAACTTCTGTAATTCTTTTCATAAAATCTTGCATTTCTTTGATTTGATGTATTCCTAGACACCTTTTCTTTTCCGTTGCTCTGGTCAAGTGCTCCTAATCCTGCCTCTCGTTCCCACTTCGCTCGAGAGTCTGCCAATATTAAGGGACAGAAATAAGTGACTGGACTACACCTGGTAAGGTTGTAACTCTCCGCGTTCCAAACGCCTCCAACTAATTTCTGACCATCGCTCTACCCGTAGGTCCAATTGCCCGAAGCCCGTCTCAGGCAGCGCGGAAAATGTCTCCGCTCGGCACGAGGCGGAGCCGGTACGTGCTGACGTCAAGGGCACGCAATACCTTAGAGGCCGGGGAAGGGCGGGGCCAGCAGGGGGACCTGCTGCTGGGAGAGCAGCGGCCCAAGCGGGGGCCATGGCGAAGCTGCTGAGCTGCGTCCTAGGCCCCCGGCTCTACAAAATCTACCGGGAAAGGGACTCGGAAAGGGCCCCGTCCGGCGTCCCCGAGACTCCAACTTCAGTCACTACCCCCCCTTCCAGCTCCTGGGTGAGTCGAGTTCTCCCCTGGTCAAAAACATGGTACGGCCCAAACCCCTTTGCGGCCTTTGCTCCCCAGAAGCGCCCATTATTGGAAATCGGGGGAGCCTGGTTGTCAAGCCAGTTGTCTGCGAAGTGCTCTTTGTGCTTCCTGGTTTAAAGTCACGCCTGCGGACTGGCTGCCTCCTTTATCGCGGTTTGCCACCGCTTTCTCATTCCGACTACCACTCCTTGCTTTTTCCTCTCGCGGCCCCCCACCCTGTATGTCGTGGTTCGTGCTGGTCCCATTTGACTCTACGTCCTGGAAGAGACCCTGCGCGGATTCGAGAGCTGGATGATTTTGCCGTCAAACTCTCGATTTCTTCCTGCTAGGTGCCTTCCCTGGTTCTGTTTTATCTTCCCTTTACCCTGGCCTTGAATTTCAACATGACTTGAATATGTCACGGACCCGCTGCCCCCCACCCAACCGCCCAACCTACTTTGGAGACCCCAGGGTCCTTGCATTCGTGAAAGCTGAGGGTGGTGGTAGGCTGTGCCCCTACACGGTCTCCACCTTTTTATTGGTAGTCTCAGATTATGTTTACTGTCCTCTACAAACCGTCCACCCTCAGCCACATTCTCTTCTTTAATCACCCCACTGTTATTTCTGTTCTTTCCCTCTTAAAGTTGTTATGGTGCCTTTCCTTTCTGTTGCTCTAACCCCTCTCCCCATATGCACATGCCCACAACCCATCTGAAACTGGGAGCAGAAATCATCCAGTGATGTTTTCACTTTTGCTCCCAAGTCCAGCCCGGTATGTTCTCACGGTCTGGGATAGGAAATGAGGTTTGGAGTGGGGGTGGGGGGTGGGAAGAGGGGCTTCTGTGGGAGACAGGGATGTCCCAGGAGGGATAGCTTTGAAGGCTAGAACCAGAGGACACGAATCAGGGCTTTCAAAAGAGAAGGGGAAGGACTTGTCAATGGACACGGCCCTTGACACAGCCATCTGCTTTGGCAGGATACGTACTATCAACCCCGTGCCCTGGAGAAGCATGCGGACAGCATCCTGGCACTGGTACGTCTGTCCTGCCATCTGGGACTACTGCATCTTTTCCAACCCACTTGCCCTCCCGAATTTTCTCCCCCGCAGCTTGGGAGAAGGCAGTGCCCCCGGGGGTGGGGGATGTTCTGGGCTCTGCAAGAGACTTCAACACACACATGGATGTGCTGTCAAGTGCACATACTTGGCAGTCCCCTTTGGTGTGTGCATTTTTTTTCTCTGGGGCAGCCTGAGCCCTGAGGAAACTGTGCTTACTTTTGGGACCATCTGCAGGTGCTGAGTCCTGTGGTCCCCAGTGACCTGTCCTCCCTGGCAACTAACCTCTTTGGCTGCAAAGACAGCTGTTTTCTCTGGCAGGGTTCCTATGGTGACGTTTGTGCATCTCTTGGGGACCAGGCCAGGTGCTGTCCTGAGTGGGCCGAGTGAAAAGGCTTGATTAACTTGAGTAGAAAGAGAAACTGGCCTTTCAATGTGATGAAATTATGTCTGGAGATGAGAGGAAGAAAACAGAACCCGTACCTAATTTTCCCAGCCTCTGTTATGCTCTGATACGCTGCCTTTTAACAAATATTAAGCACCTACTGTGTCATGCACAGAATAGGTACTTGATATGATCTCCCTCAGGTTATCCACTTTGCTCAGAGGTTAGGCCTGGAAATGGCAGACCTGTGTGTGTGTGTGTGTGTGTGTGTGTGTGTGTGTGTGTGTGTGTGTGTGTGTGTGTGTGTGTGTGTGTGTGTATTGATTGCTTGTCCCCATCTCTCTGCTGCAGGCTTCAGTCTTCTGGTCCATCTCTTATTACTCCTCTCCCTTCGCCTTCTTCTACTTATACAGGAAAGGTCAGTGTGGTTTCAAAGGTGGTGGGCAGGTTGTTGGCAGCTGAGCTGACCCCCCCTAAAGAGGAGAGGGGCCCTGAGAGGATGGCTTGGCTTCCCTCTTCCATCAGGCATCTTCTTCCTCAGAGGGCATGGCTGTCCCAAAGAGAGGGTACGGGGTGGGGGTTGGGGCAGTGGGGAGAGCTTCTCATGTGATGCCTCTCCCCTCCCAGGTTACTTGAGTTTGTCCAAAGTGGTGCCGTTTTCTCACTATGCGGGGACACTGCTGCTACTCCTGGCAGGAGTGGCCTGCCTCCGAGGTAGGTTGAGAGGGAGCCTGGTTTGGATCTATCCCTCACTGGGTAAATATTTATGAAGTCACTTCTGCAAATACAGTTTTGTGTTGGGCCCTGAGGGGGAATAATTGGGAATGTTGAAGGCATGATCTTTTTCTTAAAGGGCGTGGTTGTAAGTATGAAAAGCTAATTGGCAGAACACTTTGCTATTATCTAGAAGAGATGCATATACCCTAAAATAATTCCACATATGTCCGTATATATGTTTGTAATAATCCGAAACTGGAAACAAGTCCATGGCCACAAATAGTAGGATGGCAGGGAGTCTAGTTCTAGGGCAGAACACAATACAGCAATGCAAATGAACAAATTGAAGCTACACTCAGCAACACAGATGAGTCTCA